CATTGCTGGGTCATGGTGAGCTTCTCATCCGCTAGTACCCCCAGGTCGTCCTCCTCAGGGCTGCTCTCGATCCATTCTCTGCCCAGCCTGTATTTGTGCTTGGGACTGCCCCAACCTGTGTGCAGGACCTTGCACTTGGCCTTGTTGAACTTCATGAGGTTCACAACAGGCCCACCTCTCAAGCCTGCCAAGGTCCCTCTGGATGGCATCCCTTCCCTCCAGCGTGTCAACCGCACCACATAGCTTGGTGTTGTCAGCAAACTTGCTGAGGGTGCACTCCATCCTGCTGCCTGTGTTGCTGACAAAGGTGTTAAACAGCACTGGTCCCAGTCCTGACCCCTGAGGAATGCCACTCGTTATTGGTCTGTACTTGGGCATCAAGCTGTTGACCGCAACTCGGTCATGTGGGACAGTGTCAAATGCTTTGCACAAGTCCAGGTAGATGATGTAATTTGCTCTTCCCTTATCCACGAAAACTGTAACCCCATTGTAGAAGGCCAACAAATTTGTCAGGCACGATTTGCCCTTAGTGAAGCCTTGTTTTCTGTTGCCAATCACGCCCTTATTTTCCATGTGCCTTAGCATAGTTTTCAGGAGGATGTGCTCCATGATCTTGCTGGGCACAGAGGTGAGACTGACTGATGCGTAGTTCCCCAGGTCTTCCTTTTTTCCCTTTTTAAAAATGGGGTTTCCCCTTTTCCAGTCAGTGGGAACTTCACTGGACTACCATGACTTCTCGAATGTGATGAATAGTGGCTTAGCCACTTCATCTGCTGGTTCCCTCAGGACCCGTGGATGCATCTCATCGGGTCCCATGGACTTGTGCACCTTCAGGTTCCTTAGATGGTCCCAAACCTGATCTTCTCCTACAGTGGATATTTCACTAAAAATTCAGCATCATAAGGAAATTACCTGGTGTTTTTCCAGAAAGAAATGAAATGAGAGAACTGGAGATGTGTCACTGGAGGATCTCCTATATGTGTACAAGTTTAAGGTTCATACTAAGAGACTTTATTCTGATAAAATGGAATCTAAAATGTTTTAGCATCGGCTTTCTGAAATGTACCTTTTTCCTGGTGCTGTTAATATATCTGCAAGTAGCTCTTTTCAACATCATCATTTCCCCTCCTTCAGAAATGATGGATTCATTTTGACCTTAGCTATGATAAAGTATTTCTAGATCACAAGAGAAGCATTTTATTATTGCCCTATTGATATAAATAGTAACTATTAGCATGTTTAACTAAGAAAAAGCTCTGCCAGTTTACTCCTGCTGAGCCAGTAAGTCTGACACCAGGTGTGGACTCCCTGGGTATACTTTTAACACACATGCTACCTTATAAGCTGGTTTTGTGTTTGAAAAATAATTAAGAATGTATTACTTGCACCTTTTTTTGTTTATTCTATAAATGAACCATTGGATGATACCTAATATAGTATCTAACTTGACTTGGGAGTTCATGGCTGCTTTTGCATGTAAATAAGTAACATATAACTAAGTAAGAGAAGAGAGCCCAGGGATTTGTGAATTGAACGGTCTTGCAGAATAATTTTTCTTTTTTTACTTAAGGATTACAAAGGTATAGGTAGATTACTAACAGTCCTTTTATGCTAATTATTATATGGAGGCAGTTGAAGACTGTGTTGGAAGCAATTTAAATCTTTGCACAGTTAAACTTACCAATGTTGGTTTGCAATTTTCTGTAGCTGTGGTGAAGAACCCCCCAAACAACCTGTGGATCATTGCCGCGGTGCTGGCTCCCATTGCTGTGGTTACAGTTATCATCATCATCATCACAGCGGTTCTGTGCAGAAAGAACAAGAACGACTTCAAACCAGACACCATGATGAACCTGCCTCAGAGAGCTAAAGTGAGTGACTGATCTCTAGATCCAAGATGTCCATTTGCTTTCTGAGATTTTAACTGTGTTTCTCTGCTAGACGTAGTTGAAGGATTTTTGGAATTGAAATGGTTGTTACTCACACGTTGGATCTTTGCACTTCTTCTCTGACTTTGATACCACTGGTCACAGCACTTACTGCTCTTTACTCAGGACTCATCAACTTCCGTCACAGCTCGTCCCTTGCCACATAGGTAGCAGTGACAGAATGACTGCTATGCAGTGATGTAAGGCACAGAGCCATTAGGGCTGAGCAGGCTTTACTCAGGCAATTCCTTCGTTCATAAAGTTGAGGAAATGGGATAATATGCCCAGGCCTTGTCAGCAGCACATCTCCCGTAGGAGCTCATTCTCAAACCCATAGCCTGAGCTGCTCCAACCTGCTGTGAGTAGCAGTGGCTCAGGCTCTGGGCTTTGGCAGCAGTTCAGACCTGGTCCTAACCAGAAGTTCTTCACCCAACTGCTAATCCAGAGAATACATGCTTTGAAATTTTTAGAGCTTTTCTCCCACTGCTATTTTTCTTTCAGATGTTTTGAACTTTCTGATTTATTTGTGGATATTGTTGGTTGGGTTCAAACAATTATATTGTCCTTAAAGTTACTAACCCAGATCAACTACAAATTTTTTTTTTCCCAAATCAAATGCATTTCCAGTTTGATTCTCTAACAGAAAAATGTCACAGAATACTGATTTGTCTCCATAAAGAAAAAAGTCTGCTGCCTTAATGCTGCTATTAAATGGCTCTTAAATAGGGCCACCCAAAGTTAGGAGTTTTTAGTCTACAGAGCCTGTGTGTAAGTCATACTATTCCTTTGCCCTTTTAGCTGGCTTTGTTCTTCTGCATTGGCATGGGATTGAAATGATAAATTTTTTCTTTGGTTTTTTAATGCTACAGACAGCAGGATTATTGTGATTTCAGCTCTGTTGCTTCTGCTGAAAAATGTGGATTGGAGAGAGAGTTGAAGGAAGGTATGATGCATATGACAGCTCTTTTCTCCTCATCTTAGGTTAGTTGCAGATGGGTGCAGCTGGTGCCAGTTGGAAATAGACATTTGTATCAAAAATGATGCGAAAAAGACATTTCCATTTTGGTTCCAGTACGCTCATCTATTTATCTGGTGTTATCAAACTAGTGTTAAGACTAGATCTGCAAAAGTGAAACAAGCAATATCACAAACAAAAATTAATACCACTGCAGTGATATCACGTGGCATCCCATTGAAACCTCTAAAATGCAAATCATGTTTTATTAGGGGCTGTTGCAAATACTGTGCAGCACTTGGTGGTTCTTGTATGTAGTCTTAGTCCCAGCTAAAGGACAAAATGGGACTAAATTTGTAATTGTTTTGAGCTGACCATCATTATGGGATACTTTACAGCTGAAGAAAGTTGCTAATTAAAAGAAACCACTGCTGACTGAAGCTACTGCACAGCAAAAAACTTTTAATATTTTAATCTATAGTTGTCATTATAAAAGGAAAGAAAGTTGAATTTTTACTTTTCCTGAGAAACCAGATTTAATCAGGCTATAGGATACATGGTCGGGTTAACACTTACTCAGTCAGATTACATTTGCATCAGCAGCCAACGTCATCAGACGGGAGCTGGATGTGTAGAACAAACCAACTGGTGCTGAGCTCCCAGCATCCACACTATGTGCATTTCAGGGGATTTCCCTGCAGACTTGCTCACATTTGCAGCTAGAGTGCAGAAGGTCCGCTTCTAGAGTGCATTTCCCCTTTTTGGTATATTTTTGAGACTCCATAAAATTTAATTTAATTCATTATATGAGAAATGATGCATTTCAAAATGAAAGCTAAATTGCTTTCTGTTTAGTTTCACAATGATGGCTGCATCAAACTGTTCCGCCAGGTCTGGTTTAGAGTACATGCTGGTATATGTACTGTCGAAGATAAATTCTGCAGCGGACTGGGAATGGACTGGTTTTGTCCTTCCTGATTTCAGCATCTTTACTTAAAAGAAGGTTAGGAAATGTATTTTGGGAAGATAATGAAATAAGGTCATTTTGAAAAGAACAGTTTTAGTTTTATTTTTAATTCCAGCATTAGGGGTACCAGATGTAGTGGTAATTACTTGAACTGAAATTGCTATGTTTCATGCAGTTCAGCAATACAAATAGCTGATGAGCACATATCTATATCACATTTAAAATGAATATATTGTATTTCATGGCTTAGAAAAGTGCCTGAGACTGCTTGATTAATACTGAACCTGTTCTGTAAGCGGAGTCACAGCAGAGTGATTTTTAGTTTAAGAAGCAGATTTAGTATTTTGTTTCTGTGCGTCTGAAATTTGCTGTTGAATCACTGGAGCAATTTTTTGATACCTTTTTGAATATCCAGCAAACTGTATAGAGAGGAAAAGAGAATATTATGGGATACCCACAGCCTTGGATTTCAGCTGTTTTTGTTTTCAGCGGTGCCATTTTATATGGTCGGATTCCAAAAGTCCTGTCCCAAGGGGACTGGCAGAGCATAGCTGGCTGTTCATCGCTGCAGTCCTGTTGGTGCTGGGAGCAGGGGAGGCTGCAGGTCCCCGCAGAGCAGAGCTGCCTGCCGCATCCCTCCAGCGGGACAGGGTGCGCGAACACGGCACCCAGGGGTAATGAAACGTTCAGCGTTAAATATCCTTCTGCGGCTGGGGGAGGTGATGTAACGTAACGGCAGCATTGCTGCCCGTGCCTGGTAATTAAGGACTGATTTTTTTTTGGCTGTAATAGACTGAAGGCTAAATAAGCGAAGTTTTAAAAATGTCCTCTCATACATAGTGTACTTTATAGTATCTTTCTTAGGAATTGCGTTGCTGATCTGAATTGCCTTAGCAGTCAGGGACATCGGGACTAAGTTGCAGGGAAAAAGGACTGTTACCATCTTTTTTTCAGTTGGCTCTCCAGTTGTAAAATTAAAAGAAATATAAATTCAAATTGTTGAAATTCTGATGGGAATTTATTTTAGTGTTTTTTAAATGCTGTTTTTATTTTGAGCAACTGTTTTTACTTTGAGGTTTTGGATAGATGTTAGCTTTTTCCTCCCTTGCTTTCTAATTCACAGCACGCTTTTTTAAAGGCTGTAGTCTGATTTGTCACCTTTCCTTTCTTTTAGAGCATGAAAGAATAAGCTTGCAGGTAAACAGAGATAAGATCTGCAGTCTAAGACCCGCAAGCAAAAGCAAATACTGCAGGCCATGAGAAAACGATCACTATCAATTTGATAAAGGGCATGGGGATAAAAAAAAAAAAGATCAGAGAAACGATCTGTGTACATGAGTATACATGTAGAGAGGAGGGGCTGATCATAATTTTTTCTTTTTTCCCTTTTTTTTCCCTTTTCTTTTCTTTTTGAAAAAAAATCAGTGTCTTTTTCATGATCATTACAAAGAAAAAAAGTCACAGAAACAACTCCCTTTATTCAATCTGCCCTTTGCCAGGCAATGTAATTTAATGGTCTCATCATTCATTTATTGTTTCAAAAGCAATATTCAAATTCCAGTCCTTTAGTCTTTCTCAGTATTTTGACTGTATTGGACATCTATGTTTGCACTGCTTCAGCAGTGCCTGATCGTGATTTAGTCTTGCCAGTTCCCTTCAGGGGTGGTAAAGCCATCTGCTCCTGTGGGCTTTTACAGAGCAGGGTTCCAAGATCAAATTTTATTTAACGCAATATGTCCGCTGATGAGGATGGCTTTTTCAGCTCTTCCTTTATTGCAGTTTGTTTCTAGACATGGTGGTAAGTAGAACTCAGGTTAAAATAATCCTTCATTTTCTTCCTTTGGCAGATCCAAGCTGGGACTCTGCAGAGTTCTTTAGTAATTCTCATGTTCTGATGCTTCTGGTTTGGTTTTGTTTGGTTTTTTTTTTGTTTGGTTGTGTTGTGTTGTTTTGTTTTTTAAAATAAGATATGAAGGAGAGTAGAAGAACCTTTGACTTATTTCTCCCTCTATGCCTTTGAATTAACTGATTTAATCAGCTTTTCTCTTTTGTTACCTTTTTGCAGAATATCTAGGAGAGCCTTGACTAACACTTAATATAGATAATAAGGTTGAAAACATTATTTTGGTTAAAAATATTGCTATCTAGGATGTTGTGCAGTAGTTCTTCCTAGCTGTCCTTCACACAGCTTCTGCTTTCCCTTTCTTAATTCCCTTCCCTTTTTTAATTTCCTCCCTTCATAGCTAATTTGGTGACTGCTTTTGGGGTTACCCTGCCTTCAGAGGAGGGCAAGCAGAAGGCTCCGTCGCGGGCGATATTGTCATGACTTGCCGTGAGGTGGTGATGGTGAATTGGCATTTCTCTGATATGTTGCAAGTTCCATTGTGGTAATGTGCGGAGATGTCCACTCTCCCAAATCAGCGTTAACATCTCCTTAATGCACTGGAGCTACTTATCAGAGGAATACTGAAGTACATGAGCACATTAGAAGTCATCAGCCTCAGTTCGAACAGGAGATTAGGAATGCAATGCAGATCCCCATAAATAAAAAGCATGTTTTGTTTTGTTTTAAAAAAAATAGAAGACAGCCCCATTATTTTCAGACTGAGATCGCCTATGAAATTTATCTGTATTTATAGCTATAGCCTAGATTTAGTGAGGGATAGAACAAGAGAAAATGTTTTTTCAGAGCTCATCCCTTTTCTGTGCCATCAGCAAGTTTGTGTGTTGTTTTTTTTTTTTAATCCAACTGATTTTCTTCCTTAACTAGACTATTCAGTGACAACATGACAGGAACCTGAGAGAGACTATTCAGTTATTAACTATCTAATTCTGATGTGTTTCCCAAAGCAGATTTGAGGGTTAAAATCACCATTGCTCGTCTTTGAGGTGTTTTATGGTGCTTTTTAAATATTCTGTCAAAAGTCTTTGTACTTCAGGAAGAGCATCCTTTCAGTTTTTGGTAAATTAATTCAATTTAGAAGAATATTTTTGTGTTACGTGTTTTTTACGGAGATGGTCAGGAATTTGAGTGATTTATTTTTCATTTTTTTCCTTCTCTTTCTTTTCCAATAGAAAATGTAGCTTAGTGTTTGGGTTGGTTTTTTTCCCCTTCTCTTTTTTTCCCAATAGAAAATGCAGTTTAGAAAGTCAAGTTTTGCTCAAATGCTTAAATTTTTCCATTAAGAGAATCCACCTTTCGGTGACTGCTTTGCCCAGAAGGTATGTGTCAGTTCTGCTTGTTCCTTGCAGAGGCAGCAGGGAAAGTCCGACCGGATTTCGGAGGAGGAGAGACTGGGCACACAACCCTTGGCTGCTTTGCCGTAAGGCTCTTGCGAATGCCGCTTCCCGAGAGAAACAAGTGAAGTCAATAACAACCTTCCCAGTAGGCAACTGGCAAGCCAGGGGAAATATAATTTCACTGATCTGAAAAAGATCCTTTTCTGGAAAACGTTGCCCATGAAACTTTGATGTGTGCCTTTTTTACTTTGTCTTGATTTGGAATAAATTACTCCCACCCTTTTTGGAAACATAAGACTTTTGTCAGAGAAAGTTTTCCATTTTCTGTATGGTCTTATTTTTCTTCCTCCTAATTTTTTTTGTCTGTATATTCATTCTTCTATTGTCTGTTAGGAATTTCTGGGGGTGTTACAGCAGGGTAAGAAAGGTTAGCCAAGATCAATTTTATACTAACTAATCATGTTTAAAAGATGTGGAATGGAGATCTCTTCAGAAAGTTGGTTTGTTTTTGAGCATTCGTGTGACAATCTACATAGTTTTACCTGTCACTTCTGTAATTAAAGTGGTTAAGAATTAGTGGAAAATATTATATTGAAGTGGAAATTTTATATTACCATATGACACATGCTGGAGATTTCTTTTTTTCTCCCACTTTTTTTGCAGCCAGTACAAGGCTTTGACTATGCCAAGCAACACTTGGGTCAGCAGGGAGCTGAAGATGAGGTTTTACCTGTAACTCAAGAGACTGTCGTACTTCCACTTCCAGTTAGAGATACTCCTGCCTCCCAGGAGAGAGAAATTACTCAGGATGGGAGCACCATCAAAACTGCCAAATCCAATGAAACAAGGAAAAGGTATGGACTGGCATGTTTCTGCAGAGGGGTAGAATAGGGTACATGCTACTGGTTGCTTAGGAAAAAACTGTAAGGTTTGGCACCCAGACTCTGTGTGTGGCAGATGGTTCCTCCATGATATATTCTTGGCATAATGCTCGTCTGCGCTGGATGTGTAAGATTGCAGCAAAATACAAGATAAAGTGAAGTCTTCGGAGATTGTACATGCACAGAGGAGGTAAATGGGAAGTGGCTCTCATGCATGCTGGTGTTGTACAAGAGATGAACCCAAAAAACCCATGGGGTCTGGAGCATGAACACCGGTCGTTTATCAAACGAACCAAAAGACAGGACCTTAGCCACTGTAAGTTGCTGTATCTCCACTGACAGACTGTGTCACTCCAGAATTGGACCAAATGTCTTCATTAGCACAAGGGCAAACCCTAAACATCCACTAAATTATGGAAGATCTCTAGATCCAAAACATCTACAGCAAGACAAAACTTTCGAGAGTGTAAGAATAGACTAGATAATGTCAGTGTCTAGGGTAAAGTGTCCCAAGTTTGCAGTTTCTTCGTAGTAAGTCTACAGGGTTGTAGGATCACAGAGTAGAAGGTCCCCAGGAGGCTATCTGGCTCTTCTTCTCCACTGCAGGGTGAAATACACCCCTAACTCAACTTTATCTACCCTTTTTAAAAGTCTTGCAGTGGTAGGATGATCACAGCCTCCTCAAGCAATCTGTTCTTCACTGCCTTTCCTGTTAGGAAGTTTTACCTCATGTCTACCTGCAGTCATCATCAAAATAGCTGAAGGTCATTATTTCTTGTCTCAGTCATCTCAGGCAAGGAAAGCAGATTATCCCTTTATCCTAAATAGACTTGAAGCATTTCAAACAGTTTTCTTTGACCCACTGTCCTTGAAATTAATTTAGCGCGGAGGATCATCAACTTTTTATTGCTGAAGAATTATACTGAAGGGAAGAGAGGAAAGTAAAACTGTTAGGTAAACAGCCTGAATAGAGATAATAGTTGTTGTCTAGTTCACTGGCATTACACAGCCCTTGCCTCTTGAAGGGACTGGATAACATAAAAGAAGAGTATCTGGCTAGTGCAGAGAAACTCTATAGAAAATTGAATCTTCATAGATGAGTCCCCTCATCTTGTACTTGTCAACACACAGTGATGTTTGCCCCTTTGAAGTAATGGAAAAGCTTGGAAAACTTGGCACAATATTGCTGTATGCTGTCACAGGGACACACTGGAGTCGTCTGCAGCGGTGGGAGGCGCCGCGCTGGGAGGTGTCAGGCTGCACAGCACAGGGCTGGAGGACCCAGTGCTGCTGCTCTTCGTGGTGGGTAGACCTCCCCATTGGTCATAAGCTGAGGATTTCCCCTACAGAGAAATGGAAACAGGAGGATCCTGAGCTGATGTCTGGTGTGGCATACTTTTTGGGCTGTATAATAAGTAAATTGCCTGGAATATGGAGAGAGCTGTCTGCAGGGAGTTACCAATGGAGAAAAGTGAGCGGCTGAGAACTCCCCTGGTTCCTGCGATTGCTTCACTGGGTTTGGATGTAAACTGTTAATCTGCCCTTTTATGGCAGTGCTGTGTTGTTCACACCATAAATGACTTGAACCAATCAGCACTTGTCCCTTGTGAAGTCCTCCATCTTCTGATGAAATGACAAATGGAAGATGACCATGACAGCGGCTGTGGCTGCTGCTGCTGGACCACCACAGGTTAGGTCTTTGCAGGAGCTGTTCTTTAAAATGTTTTGAAGCCTCTCCAAAGCCATGTGTAAATACACACACAAAAATGTAAACCAGCCCTATTAATTAATCCTGTAACAAAAGTGATTAAGCACTTCACTTGGTCCTTTGGATGAGTGCAGAAATCCCTGTCTACTTAATCTGCACAATTTTAAACAAACGTTGATAAGCAAACTTGATCCAGGAACTCACAGAAAAGTTATTCTCATGATAAAATGTGTTGAACCTTGGTGCCTTTCTAAGCAAATAACTAAGACTTAGTTTTGCCTCCTTCAGGGTGATTACTTGAGTAAGTGAGAACATGCAGAATTTTAGCCTTTTTTTCTTTCCCCGGAGCTGTGTCTGGGGATGGAATTTAATGGTTTCTGAAGATGAAGAAATATTTCTTGACCTTTATGTATTTTCTCTTTCATCCACGCTACTTTGCAGCCTGGAAAGGTCAATTTAAATCAGACTGCCATGAAGTGGCTGGTAACTGATCAGAATATCTTCTCTGATAATACCACTGAAGGAAACTTCACAGTTAATAATACGATGGCCACTTAAAAAGGATGAACATTTAGATTAGTGGCAGCAGAAATCATGGTGCAAGCTATCCATCCTTGCTTCTTTTACTTGTTTCCAAGTGGAGCAGATTTTTTTCAGGTGTTGATCTGTCCCTGGATGAATTTTTTTACTGGGCTGGGATTATTCATTAGCAGTGACAGACAGGTTTATAGGGGAGACATGCTACTTTTCAAGAATATTTATTCTCGATAGAATTTCACAAGGCAATCCTCAGGCTGGGCTGGGCTGAGCTGGGTTGCATGCTGAGTTCTCCTAAAGCCCTGTAGCTGGAAAGAGCCTGTCTCAAATTATGTATATTTCCACTTAGGCTATCTTCAAAAGAGAGTCCTGAAGAATTCCTTTTCTCATATTTGTCCCTTCCTGTTCTGACCACAGTAAATGCTCTCTACTTACACCAGACAGGGCAGTCAGAACTGGAGGTAAATGAAAATTTCAAGCTGGCAATATAGTATTGGCAATAATTTACAGGACAGATTTTGCTTTAGTACCATTGTTTTGCTTTAGTACCATTTTCTGGATATAAAGCCATCATGACAGCAGTAGAACTCGATTTGATTATTTTTCTGTGTAAATGAAAGTCCCGATGACTAAGTCCATTTTCTTTACATTATCCTGTTGTTGGCCACAACAATTCAGTGATAGATTGCAGATAGGTGCATGAGTAACTATAGAGGTCCTATAGATAGTTTTCATTTCCATTGTGGCAAGTTTCATGTGTAGAAACAATGTAACATGGTGTCTGGATGTGGAGTAGCACCGAATTTAACGTTTTCTACTTTGGCCTGCTTTTCCCGACTTGTGCATTAGGATTTGAGTTATTTGCCCACCCAAAAAATAAGAGAATCTCTGCTGAGCTCTTTCTCCCAGTGCAGCCCAGAGTTATGCTACTTATTTCTGTTCTTGCTCCTCATTGGGACTGAATGCTGGCAGCAGTTCTGCTCTGCCCTTCCTCCTGACCCTGTGCAGGGATCAGTTTTGGAGCGAGGATATGCAATGGCTGAGTAAAACAAGCATTTTCTTAGGAGTTTCAGCAAATAATGGTGCTGGTTAAACTAGGTTATCTGCAAAAAAGGATAAAAAGGAGAAGTTTCTTAAGATGTGTAAAGTGAGTGAGTGACTTTTGCATTGTGGCTGACAAAACAGCTGAGTGTAAATGCAGGCTAAATAATAAAGGAATTAGTTTAGCCATCTATACAAAAATAAAGGTCTGCTTTATTTTAGCTATATAAACAACACTGAATTGATAACAGGATTTTTTTGTGCTCTGCAGTGCAGCTTCTGTCATTGTGGGGGTTGTGCATGAGAAGTGGTTGTGTTCGATGCCACTACGATGCCTGTCAACCCTGAACTAATTGAGAAGTTGTGTTCTCCTACCATCACTGCGTTCCTGCCTTTACCGTGTTTCTGTGTGCAGTTTATATTCTGTCTCTTTTTGGTACAAAATCAGACTTGAAAACTCAGTGATGCAAACTGTGCGAATGAAATAACCTTGAAATGAGGTTTATAAGGAAGAACTCACATCCTCCCTTGTTGCTATGGTTACTTGCAGCCGGTCCCCGAGTCAGAACGGCTCCATCATCAGCAACGGGTCGGGAAAGCCCAGCTCCGGCCGGAGCTCCCTCCAGAAAGTAATGGCACCGCAAAAAGTGACAAAAGATGAAGGAAGGAAAAGAAACGGTGAGAAGCGTTTCCTGATGAAAGCTGCTTGTGGTTGCCCCTGTAGCTGTACCCACACAGACTCTAGCTGTGTTGAAACCATCTTCCTATACCTTCAGCAGTACTTAGGCATTTTCTGTTTGGAGCTAGTTTTGTGTGTTTTCTCTTTTTTCCTTCCCCTTTACTGCTGTAAATGTTTTTTCAACCTCACATGAAACAGTATGCTGTTTACTCTTTGTGTGGGCCTTTGCAAGTTTTCTTTCTTTTTTTTTTTTCTTTTGTTTTTAAATACCAGTAAACTAATGAAGACATGATGCTGCTTAGAAGGTAGACAGGGCTTACAGCTTTTTTTTTTTTGGTATAGAGCCCTAAGATATTAATTTCCATTACTGCTCTTTCTAAGCTGGCCCAGATCTGATGAAGATGAATTAATTAGGTAAAAACTAATTTGAGAAAGTGTGAGACGTCCAGAGCTTTAACGTTCCATCTCTTATCATCTTCTTCATACCTTTTTGTTATTAACGCTTACTGACAGCTTTTCCTGATGCACCTAGGATGTTATGCTGGATGTTTTTTACAAGCCCTTGGTTGATGGTGGTGACCTTGTGACTTGAGATGTATCAGGAACATCTGATAAGAGCAGAATTCAGTCCCCTTTTTCCTTGCTTTTCTTTTGTCTGTGTCTCTGCTTATTTCTCCTGAGTTATAGCTTTGCTTCCATAGCTATGTTTTCCATATGAATAGAAAACACTGTGGCTGAACCAATTGATCACTTCCCTCTAAAGGGAAGGAATTAAACTGGATGTAGTCTCATCAGACTCTGTCATGAACACAAGTCTCTAATTCTTTGTTAAAAATGTAAGTGTGGATGGAAGGACTTGGATAAAGAGAAAATCTTTAGATCTTTTCTCCTTTCTTCAGCAAATCACCTTAGTAACCTCTGTGGAGCATTCTGATGGCAACCCTGGTATTGCATCGTATCGTCTCTTGATGATCATTATGCCTAATACTAAAGTGTCATGCAAAGGCTTTGCTGCTTTAACAGGAATAAGTGCGCTACAGAGACAGATACAAAGCACCAGGAATGGCCTGTGTAGCAAAATCATACTACATTTTAAAATGTCCTCTGTTCTTTGCATTCATGTACCATAGAGCATTGCATCTTGTGGGGACCGTATGATTGATCTAACTGTAGTAGTCTCTTTTTAAATCGGCTTCACTGAGATTTATGCACATTTGCAAATTCACACAGAGAAGTGAAATTGTTAATTTTCCTTTGTTATGTGTTTGTCACTAGTACTGCCACCTTCTGACAGACCTGTCACTTTACTGATTGCTCCAGACCTGTAATAATAAGTATTCTGACTGGTCTTTCTTGAAGAGGTCTTTTTTTTTTTTTTTTTTTTCCCCCCTCATAGACAGCATAACAGTATTTCATGGTTCTAAGTTGCAAGGGTCGTAATTATTTTTTCACTGTTTCAAATGTAGCTCATTTTATGAGACAACATCATTTTTGATTTCCAGAGTTAAAAGCTGTAATTTATGCTGGTTTGGTTTTTTTCCTATCCAGGAAAACCAATATTCAAACCAGTGTCAGGTGATGTTTACACATGTAGGCAAAATAATTTAATGAAGGTATTTTTTTGTTTTGTTAGGTTTTAAATCTTCAAAGAAAATTGGTAAGAACTTCCAGTTTCTTTCTTAAAGAATTGGCTAACATCTAACATCCTTTCTTCTCACCTGGACTTTAGTTTGTTTCCAGAACATACACATGCTACTTAAAGAAACCTTGCAATGTAGTATAAGGGAATACTGACCCTTTATTTTAAATCTTAATTTCATTATAATTTTAGCTTCAACTTTATCTGATAACAATAACTATGCACTTTTCAAATTATGCTGGAAAACTAATAACTGCTTTATTTACATGTTTATTTTACCTTCTCTTTTCTGTCTTCTGGAAAAAAAGCCGAATAATGATGTTACTTAATACGGTCAAGGTGCCCCTTGTTTGAAGCAGCTAAATAATTTCTAGTTCTACTGCCATAGAGCAAACTTCTGTAGTGTATACTCCATTCATACGATGGATTCTTATCATTTGTTCCTACTTGCATGCTGGCACCAAGATCTTGAGCTCCTGTGGCAGAAAGGAAGAGCAGTATTTGCCTATTTAAAAAGTAGTAGTACAACATATATAGAAAATATGAAATGGATAGGCTGTTTCCGTCTGACTATTCTGGCTTTGAAGGAACCTGTGTGTGAAACACCTTATTGGCAGAGCCCTCCTGGTCGAGACTTCAGCTACTGCTAGAGGAACTTCCTTCACCTGACTGCCATAGCCCTACAAAGGGTCGCCTGGTAGTTTCCAGGCATGGATATGAAGGGGAGTAAATACATTGTTCCCTGGTAAGGAGATGGAGACTTTTTAGCTGTAGACATGTCTTTTAGGAGATGTTTAGGAGAGTTTCCTGACACAACCATTTCAGAACAGCTTCTGAGAAGGAAGATGCGGTCAGAATTACAGAACTGCCCCCCCATTTATTTCTATATACATGTGCAGGTGTAATTTTGACTTTTGAGTTGTGTGATCCCAAATGACTATTGAAGTTGAAATTAAAAAAAACAAAAATCAAGGCACCCATTACTTTTCGTCACGCAGCTTACACTTTTTTCCCCCAGTGCTATGATTACAAACACTGTCATCACCTCTGATATTTTGTTCTTTTTGCAGGGCATTATCTTTATCCAGCATGATTAGCATTAATAGAATGTGTTGGCTCTTTTTCCTTCCAGTTTAAGAAAGAAGCTTCTTTTCTCCTAGTTGTTTGTCTGAACCTGCTCCAGCTCTGTAGCCTTCTTGTAGGCTGATGCTTCTAATGCGCATGTCAGCAAAAGCAGCAGCATATTTTCTTCTCTGAAAAGCAGCATCTTGAAACTGGAATGAATCCCTTGATGGTCACATGTTTGATTTGGGGACTCCAAGTTAGAATGGCTCATTAGTTGCTATAGTTACAGACCAATTTTAGATTCTATTTCTTGCTGACATTTAGTTACATGGAAAAATGACAGCACTGGATGTTACCTCAGTACATAAACTGTATATGGCTTATATCAAAATTGACTCCAAATAGAGTGTGTCAGGGCTGAGAGTGAACAATGTGAAACCAGCATAGACTGACAGGCTTGGCTTAAGGACCTGATGTTTTGGAGGATCAGGAGAACTCTTCAGCTGAGCCTTATTTCTACAAAAAACATGAATAAAATATCTGTTTTTATTAAATAGTGATAAACTTTGGTCAGATAATAGCATTCTTTTCCTTTTTTCTTGGAAAACACTTACTAGTATTTTAATGGAAGGTTTCCTTCCTAAAAGTTGATAAGTTGTGCATTCATTTACTTTGAGCACCTAAAAAAAAAAAAAGTAAAACCTTTTTAAAAAAAAGCATCCAATGGCATATGTTAGAGGACTGAGAGATAAATGAATCAGCCAAGCAAGGTACTGGCAGTCTCTAAGATGGGTTTGTAAGAGAGCGTGGAAGAGAACAACAGGATTTTATCACTTTCACCTATCGTTTTATCAGGCCAAACATAATTCAGGGAGAAGCAAATGGCTGAACTCACTTGTACATAAAGGACTGTAGCAGCCTACAGTAAAACCTTTCCTTTCACTAACTCCTCACAAAAGGAAGCCAGTGAAAGTTATATAGGTTGTTTTCCAACCTTTAAGTGCTTGATCTTGCAACCTTCCCATTAACATCTTCAGGAGGGTGTGATTGCTTGTTTGTTTTGAGAAAAACAAAAGCTTTAGATTGCTAGCAATTCTTAATGAAGGCTGTGACTCCATATGTTTTGGGCTGAGAACTCCTAGAGTTGAGCCCAGTTTTGCACTTGAACTTCATCATCGTGAAAGGACGCACGTCATGGGTGGAGATGCACAAGCAGTATTCCCAAAAAGTCAAACTTCCTTGTGTAAGAAACCTTCCTTTCCTCCTCCTAGGAACCCCAGCTGGAACACTTCTTCTCGTCTTCCAAGCATTTGGACATTGTCTTTAAAAATAGATGTAACTTCTCAAAAGTTGTTCAGTCAAGGACCTTCCTCCTTTCTAAAATACCAGTCTCTAAGACTATCATTTTTCTCTATCCAGGCAGAAGCTGTCATATGAATTTTTAATTCTCTTTTCCTTCTGTTCTTTGTAGGGATATCTGAAAATCAGGTGTCTGCAGGAACAAAGTACTGGGGAGGAAATCTTGGCTGTATTATTGGCTTAGCTAAAATCAAAGGGATTTTGGATGTAACTCAACCAAGCTATGATACACTGCCTCGTTTATTCTACAGAAGTGTGGGCCACCAGTTTTCACACTATCTGATGTGGCAGCTCAGCGTCAGAGCCAACTTTTCTGAATTTCTAAGCAGTTGTCCGTAGTGACTCAAATTAAAATGAAATATGGCAACAGCAAGAGAATCCAGTAGCAGTGATGTAGTAGTCTGCTTTGACACAGAGTTAGCTGGAGGATCTGGTGTATCCCAGCAAACATCCAGTACCCTTCACCTGCCTTTTCTGTGCTGGGTGGGGTGCAATACAAGTTAGAGTGGAAAGGGCTTCATCTTGCCAAATTTTTGTCCTTTAGAATTGGCTTCCTAGTCTAACCTAACCAAGTAGGCTCTCTAGTGACTCCAGAGGGTCGTAGCTAACTGGGACAGATCTCTCTGCTCTGGAGGTGCTCGCCTTTTTCTTTCCAGTGAAGAAGGAGCCCAGACAACTGCATTAGAGCATATGTGCAGATTTGACGTGAGATGATTCCCTTTCATGATGCCTATCTCTGAAAGGCTGAGAAATCAGAGTTCTAGGAAGAATTTATAGTGTAGAGGAGTATTTTTTTCATCATCCATTCCCTTATCCTGAAGCATTAGCTTCATTTGCCCTAGAAAGAGTCTTTGTGGAGATCTTGATCTAACTCTTCACCCCCTCACAGTAAACTCCTAGGCTTTTCTGGAGTAATTTCCTGAAGTTTAACAATAGGAGAATAAAAAAAAGAATGCACAAAATCCTCTTGTTCAGCTGAAATCTGTCATATTGGCAGCAGTTACTGTTCTCCTTGAGCCTCCCAGAAGCTTTACATGTTGATTCTTGGGGTTTTTTTTGGTCTCCAAAGATTTCAGCTTGTGTAACATAGCCTAATATTTCCCCATACTATTTCCATTTCTTCCACTGTCTTTTGTGTGTGTGTGTTTGAAATATAGAGAGCGCTGTGCCACTGCCAGTATCCTGCTGGTGACAGTAAACCCTTTGTTTCTTCAGACGTAGCCAGTGCCATTTCCTGCTGCTTTCTCCACTTGGTTTTGGTTTGCAAGGGGCAGCCAAGTGTTGTAGCATATTCTGTGCCACATTTCTGAGTCTCTTCATGCTGCTACAAAAGCAAAAGGTGCCAGTGCTCCACTGCCTCTTTCCCCAGAGAGTGGAAGAAAAACAGCACCTGCGGGCTGTCCATACCCCATGTGAGTTGGGCCACCCAGGTGCCCTATTCAGAGGTGTGGTAGAACTTGCATAGGATAAGTGGAAAGTACTTTCTGTTTGGCCTCTTTTAGGTCAGCATGGCTAACCCAGAGAGTGGAAGAAAAACAGCACCTGCGGGCTGTCCATACCCCATGTGAGTTGGGCCACCCAGGTGCCGTATTCAGAGGTGTGGTAGAACCTGCATAGGATAAGTGGAAAGTACTTTGTTTGGCCTCTTTTAGGTCAGCACGGCTAACCCAGCTTCCCTTTTTTTTTTTTTTTTGAGCCAATCTTTTTGATTGCTTTTCTCATGACAAGAAAATTCCTTATCCTATGTTGCTAAGGTGCCTGTTGCAGCAGACCTGTGAAGGAACTGGGATCTGCAGGTGGTTGTGCAGTTAAGTATTTCTTAATTCATGTCTGCCTTCCCCTCTGGATGAGCTTTGCTCTGCCACTAATGGAGTCTGACAGCAGTTTTCATCCAAGCAACAGTGCAAAGAGTGTGTAGATGTTTGTGCCATCAGATCCAGTGGCAGTCTGGATGGCTGTGATCTTTGACTAACATGTCAGCATTGAAGAAGATGAATGTAGAGTTTTATTGTGCAAACAGAAAACTATTTCTGCGAAGCCTTTTAAAACTTATAGAGCACAATTTTCTTAAAGCCAAGGCTTCTGTTGTAGGTTCTCATGCCTTCCCTGTCTCTCTAGTTATCATCCTTGTCAGTTAAAATTTTTTTTAATTATTGAACATGCCTAGGATGATAGTACAGAAGTGCTAGACAAGAAAAGGAGCTGATGGATTCTCTACAAACATTATGAAATACATGGTCTTTTTTTTGAAAGACTTTGATATTGAAATAGATGAGGCAGATGTGGTTGGAGGAGAAGACAACCACAGAGAGAGATATCCTTGCTTCTGCTTGTAAGGACAAGAAACCTTCATAGAAAGTAAATGAAACAAGTACCTAATAGAAGAGTAGTCACCCCATATATACAGGTTCATAAAAAACCTGCAAGTGCCAGTTTAGAGCTCTCAAACGACCTGCTCAGGTAACTCCTATTTCAGTATCCCAGGCAAACCCAGGACTGTCATGTCCTGGCATTTAGCAGACTTTGCATATGAGAAGACAATATCCAGGAGGAATCACGAGCTGCTTCTATTAGTCTGTAAGCCGTGTGCTTCTCTGAAAATATAGTATTGGTGCTGTTCGTGAAAGGCTTAGAATTGCACTGTCTCACAGTTGGCTGTATTTTGGAAAAAGGGAGTGCATATGTGTACACAAGTATGTTTTCTCTTACTGCAGTATCTTCTAGAGAGGTACTTCAGTCCTGAATAGGTTCAGATACTGATGCTAGGAAACTTGTATTTTACTGATAGGCTCCTTCAGAAGCATACGTGTCTTTATTACTAAGAGCTCTTGTTCATACCTTTCTGGAGATAGCTGACAAAACAATTATTTAGATGATGTAGAAAATTTCTAATTTTTTACTATATAGAGAGATTTTATCTAAAATGAAAATTATTTCCCTATTATTAATTTACATTCAGCAGTCAGGATTTCTGTTTGAAATACTAATACGCAGGCTCTTTCCTGAGGAGATAGTCTCGTAGCTCTGTGGCATAGCTTGCTCTTTGTCAAACTATAGATATGCACTATAGGGATGCTTACAATGTATGCATTCCCTTCTGACAAAAGAAATCTTTGAAAATCTTTAGTGCTTCATTGAATGACCCAAGAAAAAGCTGAGCACGTCTACTTACTTGCGAGTGTTTCCCAGGTTTTGGCTTTATGTGTTTTTCTCCATCAATATCATTCTTTTCCTGAGGACTTCCAAAATCAGTCAAATGGTTGCTTCTGAGCAGGACAGCACATATCTTTGTTTCAAGCATTCGCTGTAAGGTTACTTGATCCACAGATAATTTAAATTTCCATACTTTTTTTTTTTTTACAGGTAAGTATTTTAGTCCTTTTTTTTTTCTCCCTTCCAACATGTTTTGATTTGGGAAAGGGGAGGAAAGACAAGGTGGAGAGAAAGAAAGAGGAGAGAAGAAATCTTGTGTCGCCTTCATATTGAAATCTTAGGCTGACAGAAGTCTAACTTTTTTTTTTTGGAATATAAATTAATAACTAGACGAAAAAAGACTATTCCACCTGTCTAATTGTTTCTTAACCCTTCAGAGCTGCAGTCCCACAGCCCTGTTCCCCTGGCAGAAGGACCAGTGTCACGAGTGGGTAGCACCACCTGCTGGCATCGCCGGCTGGAAGTCGTGCAGGGCTGCACCGAAATGGGAGGCTAGCATCCCTGAAGCAGCTTTAATCTAGCAAATCTTGTATACTCATAGCTGTAGTGATGTGGAGGTGAAGCTTCAGCGATGGTCCTGCTCTTCAAAAACCCAGTGCCGTGCTAATCTTCGCTGCAATTGGCACTCAACCTGAATAAATGATTGCTTTGGATGTATCTTCATGTACTTCAGTCACAGGAAGATTAGGAGGAGTAATTCAATCTCAATGGATCATGTGGTGTAAGATATCTAGCACAAGATGTTTCAGAGATGGGAAATTACTATTAAGTAGGTGATTAAGTAAGTTTTTTTTCCCTTTGCTGCTGCTGAACTTCTAAGTCTCGCTATGTGTGCACGCAGAGAGTGCAAGCAAGAGTAGAACAATGAATCCATTATAACGTTGCTATGCATCTGTTTAAAAACAGGAATTAAAAGCATTGCTTTAAATCTTTGTTGCTAATTATAATATGCAATTGTGCTTATTGTGAGCAACTAGAAAGAATATCTGGGCAGTTTTCTGAAGTTTCCCACGCCTGTCAATCACTCGTCCAGCTGAGGTGTTCGGATGGGTGGACTGGCCCGAGGCAGAGATACACAGCAGAAACAAACACTCCAGGACTCCCACTTTTCTCTGAGCTCCTTTGATTTGTTTTTTTAAAGTTTAGAGGTTGCTGTGGTTCAATCGTGTTATGAATGCTTGCTGTAAATTCTCTCTCGAAAAGAGATGGTTAGGAGCAAATATTAAAATTCCCACAGTACTTGCTTGTGGTTCACTGCTGATACAAACTATAGCAGCGTGCCAGTAATGACAGATCACAGACCTTCTTTATCACTCATCAGTGAAAAAAAGGGCAATGAAAAAAGCCCTACTTTTATATTATAAATGCCAATTAATGAACAAATGCTAAGCTAAGGTGGAATAGACTTCCGATTTCTAGTCCCATTTGGCTACTATTTCCATGCCAATAGCACTGCAGTAGATGCAGGAGACGTGCTCACCCACGAGAGGACTGATAATGAGGGTGCTCTTTGCTGTCAGCGTACTACATCAGAAGTAGCTGTTGTCTGTGATTCCTGATTGTCTTTACTCTTAATTTTTCTTTAATGAGCCTTTGAACCAGAGGAATTCTGTTTAATTAAGCAAAACTCTTGGTTTCTGATCCTGAAATGAGGTCTGAGGAGACAACCCGTGCATCTGTAGCTAGTCATGCTCTCTGTGGGTGCTGGGAGATCACTGCTGTTGTCTCAGCAAGCGCAGTCCTTCTGAAACACTGGGATGGAAATGCAGCTGCACTTCTTGGGGCTTTCTGCTTGAAGCAGGGTACACAGAGGATGTTTGGAAAGAATAATGTTTTGCAAGTTGATGCTTAGCCAGAGTTTTTGGGCATGTCTGGCTCAGGCAAATGCTGAGACAGGCAGCCAAGGAGAAAGGATTCCACAACTTCTTGGTACTTGGACCACTGACGAGATGCTATCCAGGCTCACCTGAGCTGTAATCATCATGAGAAACCATGTTTGTTGGTGAAAAATACAATTCAGACGAACTTTTTCTCTGTTGGACACAGTCATGTCACGACAGAGGTACCTTGTTAGGGTAGCGTGAAAGTTTCGGTGGTGAATTACAGACAAGACCCGTCTTCCAGAACTGCATTTGGTGACTTACATGAGAACTGAACTGGTTCAAAATGCCCCCAGGGAAGAATGTCCATGCTTCACTTTTATGCTCCTTGTAACGTAAATGCCTTCCTGTTCAAGTGTGGTCTGTGACAGGCAAGTATCTCTTCGTTCCCCTGTTTTTGCTGGTGTGGTGTCCTGGCAGCGTGGTTGGCAGTGGGAGTCTGGCAGTTAATTTCAGTGAGCCAGGCTCATGATCCGCTTGCTCCGGTGAGCATACAAATTCAGAGTGTTTGAACAGGAGGGATGAGAGGATTTCAGATGCAGTAAAGACTCTGTCGTATTTGGACAGTTCTGTGGAGCCAGAGGGACAATATTTAATGACAGAGTGATTTAACCCATGTATTTCTCCAAAGCTCAAGTAGTGTCAACTCCAGTCCACACCAAGTACAGGCAGAAAGATAATGAGCTTACTTAGTGGGTTCATATATTATGTTACTACTGTCAAATATTCCCTTACCAAAATCATTGACTGTCTCAACTGCTGAGTTTATACAAGTCCATTGTAATTTGTGCAGTGATTAAATATTAAATCAGAATGTATTTTCAGAGGAAATAAATTTAGAGCAGACCACTTTGTTCTTTAGCAGAGAATCTCTGCTCCTGTCAGCTAGGAGATGGAGCAAACATTCTTCCCTCTAATAGCATAATTATTCAAAAATGTTTGCAAGGATCTCTTTGTAGAATTTGTGCTCATGCTTTAGAGTCATTCTTTTATTCTAAAATGAGGATAAAAGGTTTAAGATTCAACAGCTGACAAGGTGATGCACGTTTACAAACAAAATTTGGAGGAGAAAAGGGCCCAATTGTATGTGAAAGAGTTACCCATTTATATAGAAATCTAAACCTAAAGATACTCTGCCATGCATTTAACTTTAAAGATTTTTCAGAAGCCTTCTTCTGTCTCTTAAGAAATTTTAATGGTTTAACTTTACAGCCACCTGAGGTACTGCTTTGCAAAGCAAAAAAATATAACATAAACTTGGACACCACCAGTTTCTTAAGCATGTTTTAACACACGACAGTAATGCTTTCATTTTAACAGATAGAATTTTTAGCATTAATAACTTTTCTAAAATCAGTAGGTTTATTTTGCAAATTTTGAGAATGCCTATGCTCTTGCAGTATATGACGTAAACCAAGCTGCACTCTTGGGTTAGATCAGGTGTAACTACTGATGCCTTGGCATGTGGAGATGTGTGCATGTGTGTGTGCATATAATGTCTTTTCTATGTGAAATCTAGGAAAAGATGTACTTTGATTTTCATTGTCATTTTCATACAATTTTCTGTGCCATTCTTTTTGTCCTTTTTTTCCATCTTATTAGTGCAGATTGGAAATCAACCTCCTTTGGGGGAGTGCCAGATAATCTTATGAATACATAATGTTACCTATAATCTAATGGGATTTTTTTTCCAGTGTAAAGGTCTCCCAGGTCTGCTCCTTGAGTGTATGGAGCACATCATTAATCTAAAGCGTATGCTTGCTGAATTTCATCTTGAACATGCAGTAAAAATACCTTTGTCTTTATGCTGAGTAAGTTTGATGTGCTTTAGTGCCTATAAGTGATGAAGAGGAAGGAGGCATTCTCTTTGACAACATTGCCAAATCTGCCATTGACCCCTTCGACACCTCTTCTGGATCAGTACAGCTGATAGCTATCAAACCTGTGGCACTACCGGCTGTTCATGCTGCATCAGATAGGAGCCAGGAATCTGCCATCATTAATGGAGAGGTAAGGACTGTCTGATAATGTCTCCAGATGTTTCCTTGGCTACATCCACAGGTGGGACAATCTGAAGCCTGTTAGAATTGAGGACTGGTAGGAGCTTTTCACTCTGATGCTATATAAAGTCCCATTAGCATTGTGAGCTCAGAGGTCTGAGAACTTAAGATCTGCTCTTTCACAATGCATCTATGAATGAATGTGACCTTGGAAGAGGCAATTGTCTATATTCCTACCTTCCCAATATCCTTCTCTCCTATCATATTCATTTTAACGAAATGAGTAATGAAGGCAGAGAGCAGAATAAGATCTTTGTCTACACGAATTTTGTGGCTGAGCATGGAAATGTATATAAATCATCTGGGTGCCAAGCTGATCTTTCTACACTGAGCAATACATTTCATTCAGAACAATAAGGGATGCAACAGGACCATGGCATTGCTCAGGCTGCCCTCCAGCCTGTGCAGAGGGTGCAGTTGTTTCCTGGGAACAAAGTGGGATGGCACAAGCATCTGATCCAGGTGCTGGCCAAAACCCATGATTTAGCTCCAACACTTGGATGATTATTCCTGTTTTTATGTAGATTTAATCAAGACCGGTTCATTTACAAAGGACTGAGGCTTTTATATAGTTGTTAAACATGATGGGGACAAGCCAGAGAGGTGTCTTGTTTGCAAACTTGCACTGCAACAGCCATTTAAAGATCAGCCAGAATCTCCCTGATGCTGTTTAAAAGCAACCAGAAGGGCTACAGCCAGAGACACAGTAAAAGGCAGTGTCATCAGGCTTCCCACGTGGGCCTAGATTAGAGCAGTCTGTTGTGCTTCATTTTGTACTTGTATTTTAAGTGCTGATGTGCCACGTAGTTTCCAAACTCAGAGAAAGGCTCATTTAGATTTCAGCGTCTATTTTCTGTAAGTCAGCAGGATGGCAGTCCCAATGCTGTGTGCTGTCTTTTACACACATTTCTTGAAATTTGTGAGAAGACTGTAGAATTTGATTCTGGAAGCACAAAGCCCAAGTAGATTGCTCATTTCCATATAACTGACAATTTGAAGCAGGAGGGAAATTTCCTTAATGCTTAGGACATCCGTAGAACCTGACCTGTATCAGGTCAGACCAAACACCCGTTTATTTAAGGATCCTGTCTCTGACAGGGGCCCATAACAGATTTATAAGGAAGGATGTAAATAAAAGGAACACATGATGATATTTGACCGGAATTCTTCCCCAGCCATCAGTGATGACTTATTTAAGGTTTTGTGTAGTCAGGGTGATGTCTCTGTACTTACGGGACCCTAGAAGAGTTTTCATTGGTGAGTTCTCCCCGTGATGCCCAAAAGCAAGCATGGTGTTGGGTCATGACAATTGGCTAACATCATCAGTGTTTTTCTTCAGTGGGTGTATCTGAGTCACTGTTGTAATGATACATAGTTTTTAGGCTAAAATTATTTAACCATCTGCCAAGCCATAAAAATGCAGCGACTCTGTTCACTTGCAGTTCCTGGCTGCTTACAGATGGCATGGTGTGGTACAAAATGCGCTCTGTAAAATGACACATGCAGCGCATCAAACACTCTGACAATATCATTTGGAAATAACCAGTCCAGCACCATCCTTTAAATGTCTTTTTGCCTTTCAGGTGAACAAGGCTTTGAAGCAGAAGTCTGATATAGAACATTACCGCAACAAGCTGCGCTTGAAAGCCAAGAGGAAGGGGTACTATGATTTCCCACAGGTTGATAACAAGGGGCTGACAGAGAGAAAAAGGATGTATGAAAAAAACCAGAAAGAACTTGACCATATTTTGGATCCAGATGCAGATGTCTCATCCCCGTTTGCTGAACCTAAGAACAGGTGAGACTTTTTATATGCAGTTCTTCGTCTGGGAGGAAAGCTGATGTCCAGGGGTTGTAGGGAATCAAAGGGGCTGTTATTAATGAACCAAATGTTTGTTGTACGGTCAGCTGGCCCCTCCTACTTTATGAAGAAAATTCATACAATCCACGATTATTTGTGAAAGTGTGTCATCTGGTAAAACTGCAATGTGGTTAAAAAGAAAGAAATGGAAAGACAGAAAAATAAGAGAAGGGACTGCTGCAAGTTCTTGTGAGTCATTTTCCAAGTAAGGTAAATAGAAAAAGTGGTAGTAATGTTTTTGGTAATACTGAGAGGGGACTTAAGCCAGGAAGTCAGCAGCTGAATTTATTTGTTTCCAGATTTCAGTGGTGGTGTTATTTTGTCATTATTTTTACCTGAGTATAACTATTTCAGTAGGCATAAGGTAACACAACCAGTACATTGTCCATGAATTTCAGTAAGTCCTGCAGAGATGGTATCTGTAAGGTACGTACCTGTTATTGGTGATCTTCCTGTGCCTTTAACAGAGAAATTCATAATTTGCTCATCTGTGACATGAAGCTGGCATATTGTATAACAGTACTAATGTTTGATTAACACTTCACTGTCTCTTGAGGATGGCACACCAGTAGTATTCATCTCCCCATTTTAGAAACGAGGGGGGAGTGTACATGCTGATTCTGCCTTAGCCTGCTGTGGGTGGGTGGACCTGCTCTGCTGCTGGTGCTCTCTGAAACACAAGTTGACACATGGAAAAGAGGAGATCACACCAGTCCTACCCCGGGAATGGCACAGTGTGCAGATTCCTTTTCCTTTAGGGGTGGTGGAGGTGTGAAGGATTGTAAGAGTGTTTGCCATTGCACCTCGCACCATGAGGGCTCTGGTTCTTACTTAATCAGGGACCAGCAGCAGTTGACCCATGAGAGAAAAAGGAATCCTCTGGAAATGGCCCTCATGCCTAGTGCAATCTTGTATCCTTTCTCCTGGAAAGGTCAGACCAAAGTTTTCCCATGAGCATAAATCATGGCTGCAATCAAAGTATCGGTGGTGACACAGTGTGCAACTTCAGCAATCACCCTTGGGGCACGGAGATGAAAAAGACTGTCATGGGACATACAAAAGCAGTGTCGGCTCAGAATATGGGCAAAAGCTGTGGTCAGATGAACTTCTATAGGTCTAGAGTTAAATGACGGAGGGCTACTGCTGTTGGGCTGTTTCCCAGGGTTGCACTGGTCAATGAAGAAAACAGATGCTGAATTAACTGTATGTTATGTCCTTGCTGGAGGGTCTGGGGCATCATTTCCTTGTGCAGTTTTCCAGTAAGGGAGGAATAAGTTGCTCCAAGTGCACTGAGAAGGTAAGATAGTGAACCCTTGGTACACAGGAGTCCTGCTCTGTCAGCACAGTCTGTCCAGAAAATATAGATGAAACAGTAGAAACATTGATATGGCTGTGTGCTGTACATGTAGTGAAGGACGGAGGCATTACTTAGAATGTTTATTATGTGTCACATGCCATGTAGGAAGTGTTTAAAACATTACACATGAAGCTTTAATGCTAGCCATCTGCTTTTTGTTAAATATACTGATGTTTGTTTGTTCATGTGCCAATGTGCTGAAGGGTCCCAGAATACAATTTTTCTGCATGTTTCCTAATGTGTTGTGTAAACCTGTCATAGTCTATTTGAGATAGTGATCACGGGCATGATATAAACTGCTTGAAGGCAGGTGTACTGCTGTAGAGGAATGATTTCATTGTGTAGCTGAACCATAAAAGGCTGACTGCCAGATTTACTTGTTAAATATATGGTCTATATCCCTACATAGGAAAAGACAAGAACCATTTTTGATGCACTTTCTGTAAAGACACAAAGCATTTAATGAACTTCACAGATGCTGCAGATGCTTGCAAACAAAGCAATTCCAAAGTTTATGCTAAAGTTTCCATACTAAGACCTGGAACTGAACTTGACATGCTGCAGCACACATGACAGTATTATTGTCTTCATTTTTCTAACTAAAAATAAGGTGGCTAAAATGGCATACTGCTGGAGGAAAACCTTGAATAATACTACAAGGTACTGTGGGTTTTGGTTATTGATAAGTAATTCAATACAATTGTATTTCTGTACTGAAATAACATTGCTTTTAAAGCAATCTAGGTTAGGAAAACATTGAAAAGATTTGATTTCTAAATTTTTCTGCTTTAAACCATTGTATATATCATTATAGTTGCAGTAATTAAAAACTGAAAAATTGATTTTTTAAAAAAAATAATATCACTTAAGAGTAAATCAAAGATTTCAAAGTTTCTAGGGAAAAGGTCTATTCCATTCTTTTCTGTTTTGTATATATTCCACTAACTTACATCACATTATTACAGCATTTCCAAAATACATCAGAAAATAAAGATGCAGTTGCTTACATTACATTACTCAAGGTCACCTTTACATTTTGGATTTTAAATTGTATTTAAAAGTGACTTACAAAACACTGCTGCTAAATAATTTTATTTGTTCAAGAAGAAATAGCTTTGTGCTCTTCGTACCTTTGAGTGGACTGTACCATAAAATTCATGTTTTAATGTTTTAAAATGTTCCAGTTGTGTTCCCAGAAGGTACTTGCTAACCCATTTGGATGCCAGTTGTTAGTGTTCCTACCACCTTTCTCATTAGTAAAACTTTCTTAAATGAGCTAATTGGCAATCTCAAGGCAATTTTTAAGAGCCGACTGATGATATACACTATTCTGGGATTTTCTTTAATAGTTTGTAATCAGGTCAAGAATCTACATGTATTAGAGAGCTGTATCTTTGAATCCCCTAGAAAATATATCACAACTGCATCAACTAAGTATTTATGGACCTATTGTAAAACATGTATGAAATTTTAGAGACCTTTAATGTAGGGACATAAAGATTGTCAGATCTGATTAGCTTTAGCATAACCTAGTTCTCCATGTTTTCTGGTAATACTGACAGTATAGTCTTGGAAGAAACAAGATAAGGCACTTTAATTTATTCAATGTTATTTTTATAGGGAAAATTTATTCCAGAACCTCTGCTTGTCTTCTGCTTTGGCAATGCATGTGGGACTTTCAAAGATGCGCATGGAGATTTGTGATTTAAAGTCTCACAGAAGTTTTTGAAAGTTACCTTAAAATTAAGTACGTGCCTGAGTACTTAGTTTAATCAGAAGTGTGAAATTTATGGGTTTTTTGTCCTACCTTTTTATCCTGTCTGATCATGTAAATGTCTGTCTGGATTTCTGCAAACCACTTTCTGCTGCTCTAATCTGTCAAGGCAAAAGGTTCTGTTGACCAAATCTGTAATACCTGAAGAATTATTTCTTCTTATCAGTGAATTCATTTGGACTGTGTTGTCTTTTAATTCACTGATGGTTCTTGAGACCTTAAACCATGAAGTCTTTGTAACTGCTGAATGGAACAGGCTACTTAACATGGTTTCCTCTTATGTCACTTGCAGAAATGGTCCTAGGCTTTTCAATATCTCAAATATTGTAGTAGATCTCTTCGTAATCAGTTCAAACAGTCCCAAACATTTCAAATTCCAGAGACCTTATTTTTACCCCACTTATTAATTCAAACAGAGCTCTCAGCCACAGGCTCACTTAACTTTAATACAGTTATTTTTTGGCCTTCAATCAAATCTTAGCAGAAGATTGCATTTCCTCTCAAGTTACCTGGCAAACATAGGAGAATGTCGGAAAAGTGACCTAAGTCTTCTCCCTTCAACATCTCCCTTGCAAATTTCTGCGTTCAACTCTGCTCTGATTCCCACAAATTTATCAGCCATGGCTGAAAGGCTGTTGTGCTCTGACTGGTGTTTATTGCCTTTGAAACCCTTCCTTGCTGTAGCCTCAAAATCATCCCACCACTGTGTTGAACCTGCTACCACAGCAGCAGTCTTTCACTAAGATTTGATTGAAGGGCAAAAATGCTTTTCACTTTTGAACTTTTCTAATGTAAAAATGTACTTGGATGAATGCAATACACCAAGGATGTTTTTACTTTCTCACGAATAACTGAGCAAGATAATGCTGTGGACACAACATTACTACAACATCACTGCATGGGTAGTACTAGCTACCCAAGACAACTTTGGGAAAACAAGGGATAAGTTTATGTTTCCAGTTAATCTGTGAGGGTTAGTTGAGAACTGCTGGCTTCAAGTGCCAAAGGAAGGGACAATATATCCCGGCAGGTATGGATAGCTGTCCATCTGACCTAAGTGCAGACGCTGAAGAAGCAGGTCACTTCAAAATCTGCATTGTTACACCTTTGCTGTATCTCTCACTATTGTCTGCTGAGCATAGTGACTGGGGCTGGTCCAGTGAGCGCCAGCTCGTGTTGGGGAACCACCTGATAGCACGATGTAAGCATTCAGGTGTAAATCTTACCTTGCAAATGGAGACTGAAAGTGTGAATTCAGACGTAATAGTGCAACTTTTCTTACTTCACTATGAACATCCTCAGGTCCCCTGTGCAAAATGAGCAACACAGAGACATGTTAGATGACCTGATCTACTTTTAATATTTTGAATGAAAAAATTGCACAAAGCAGAAAAATAGCATGACTAGGCAAAGATAACTTTATATCAGGCTCTAACAACAGTGTAATTACTGTGTTAATAAATGAAACTGGCATACCATTATTTGATCTGTTGCTGATCTACAGTGGGAGGAGCGCTTCTTTGGGATATGCAAGAAAATGACTAATGGCCAGATACCCTATGAGAACTGCATCTCCTAAACTTTTCTGGTTTCGATGTAGCCTTCTTAAAAAGTGCAGTCTGATGAAGCATGAAGTTCCTGTACCATGATTTAGTAACCACTCCTGAAGAGTTTATGTACAGATATGTTCTGCATCTTACAGAGGAATGCTATATTTGTTTTTGTATAACCAATAACAAGGGAAGAACTGGTTGCATTGGAAAGATTACAGGATATTTTGGGTATGGAGTTATATGCTGTCTTTGTTACACTTGCTTCCC